CTTCGGAAAATACCCAAAAACCTGAAAACAACTCATTATTCCGATATGAGAAACTAAAACGTTAATGATTTTTTTTTATAAAAAAACATCCCACATTTTTTAAGTTCCACTGCATATGAACGGAACGTGACTAAAACGTGTTGTTATTAAATCATGACAAATCAGAAAATAAAACTTATTATCTTGTCAGTGAGGTATAAAAAAACATTCCGATTATAACTTCTTGCAAAGGGTATTTATATTAGCGTGTTTCTCCGGCGTGATTAAGAAATGTAGGCTAAAATACGATAACAAAAATACATTTATGAGAAATGTTGTCTTTCTGTATAATTTTTGATGTTATTAAATTTTATTATATTTTCAAAAATATTAAATACAATTTCGCGATAATTTCATTGCGTATAATGTTGTCTTAGGGATCTCATTTGTTTAATGTAGCCACTCTAGTAAACAAAATATAAAGCTTTTATAGCAATAATATTTTTAAATTATATACTCTCGCCGTCAAGATTGAATGTGCTATTGCGGTTTTTCGAGATAGATTTTAAACTAATCGTTTTTAAATAATTTTACAGTTTTCAATCTTTTTTTAAACTGAACGAGAAACAAAATTAATCCAAAAATTCAATGAAATAAAGCCTTAAAATTTTTAAAACTTTCAAAAGTTCATATTTACAGTTGAGTGATTATAATGACACTATTCAAAATAATTACCGGAAAAACTCAGTAGATTTTAAAAATAGATGTATAGTTGTTACGAAAAGTAACCTAAGTTAATACTTACAAGTAACGTGAAACTTTGTTTTAGGCAGACATTTTGAAAATATGAAATCTTGCTGGTCCGGTTCACGTTGCCGGCCGTACTTTTAGTCTTTAATGCGATTTTGTAAAGCATAATAAATCACAGATCTGACTTATGTAAGCGGCATAATTGTTATTATAATTAATGACTCCACAGTAATTTCTAAATAGAAATCAATATTCATGGCAAAAATTAGAAAGATATTCCTCTACCGTCGGTTTTAAATATTTTGAATAGCCTGATCTTATATTTCAGTCATAGGCTTTAATTTCAGTGTAAAAACCTCTATAATTGCCCCATGTGAAAACTCAGCTCAATTTTTGGTATTGTAAAGAGCTTAACAACATTTTCCATTCAAATGAACTGTAATTTGAAATTTGTATTTTCTAACGTTTAGAATATCGTGCTGCGTGGTATTTAGTTTTGTCTACCTCATAATTGAGGGCAGAATGATTTCAGAATAGTCAAAGATAATTACTCTTTTACTCCCATTGCCGTAAGAATGGAATTCATTTTTATACCCTACAACACTATGTGTTGGGGGTATTATAAGTTTGATTGGACCAGAATTTATGTAACACCTCGAAATATTGGTTTCCCATATAGGAAAATAAATATGGATCTTCCTAGCTCGCCGAGCTGAGTTGATCTAGCTATGTGTGTCCGTCCGTCCGTCTGTCCATGTTAACTTGTAATCACGCTACAGGTCGCAATTATGGCCTGATCCTAACGAAATTTTGTACGAAGGTGGGGTTAGGGTCAGAATAGAAGCCTATTTCTTTTGGAGATGATCGCCAAATGTTTAGGGGTTGAAATGGACCAAATACTGAAAAAATGTCGGATTGGGATAAGATGAGGGTCAGAATAGAAGCCTACTCTTTTTGGAGATGATCGCTATATATTTAGGGGTTGAAATGGACCAAAAAGTGCAAAATTGTCAGCAGGTCATAATTATCGCCCGATCCTCACGCACATTTGAATGGGGGTTACCGGACATTGCAAACCCAAGCAGTTTTGGATGGCCATCCAAAAATATTCAATGTGTGAAATAGTTTGCCAACTTTTGTAGACAAAATACGAAAATGACCATTCCAGTGAATTTTTGGAGAATTCACAAATACAGGAAAGACCCACTTCTGACTATTTCGTTAACGCTGATTTCGTTGAAGAATATAGTCAAATGTCTGTATCTCATATAGATGCGTTTCAGTCAAAAACCAATAATGTTAATCTTTTGCCACTTCTGAGAGATTATAGGTCTTTGGGAAATATTAGTTCCAGCTCTAGGAAGACCATTCACGAGCAACATCTTCAAATAAATTGGAAATGAGCAAATTAGTTAAAGTTGCTATTATTCGAAAATTAGAGAACGAAACCTGAATTCTTTCGAGTATCTCGCCTATATAAACTGTATCGTTGATTATAGTGTTGTAGGGTATTCAACGGTCGGCCCCGCTCGACTGTAGCCTTTGCTTACTTGTTTAACATTTAAATTGTGCGTTGGAGACCCCACAAAGTCCATATTTTTCATCCGAATGAATGAGTCCCAGTTTGACATTTGGAGTTTACTTCATATAGACGTACATCCCAAATCTACGTTCCCAACCAATATTCTCTAGAAAGTGGCCTTAACGGTATAAACATTTCCATCTTTCTCCACTTGTTATGCTTTCGTTCTACCTGAACGAAGTAGCATAACCATGTAAGGTAGTGTTGTCCGTTACAACAAGGCACGTTCGACGAAGGGGTTTTTGTTGTAACAGACAAAACCAACTTACATGGTTATGCTACTTCGTCCAGGTAGAACGAAAGCATAACAAGTGGATAAAGATGTAAATGTTTATAAGTGCGGTTGTAAGATTTAGAAGATTTTCCAAAACAATTTTAGTTTTATTTAATTCTTTGTTTCCTCTTCTATTGAGCTTACGATCTCGTCACTTGGGTAAAAAAAAATGTTTTTTGTTATAGAAATTATTTTTAAAGTAACTTCTGGGGAGAATATCCTAGACAAAAAACAATGGAACTGATGAGGAGTGGTTGCTCTTTTCGAAACCTAGGTATTCCCTGCCTTACCCCCTGGTAAACATTACGACATCCCCACTAATAAACAAACTTTGTTGTTATAAAAACAACAATAAAAGGATTAAGCCTGACAATTTTGCAACAACTAAAAACAAAAAATATCGAAAATAGAATCAAATTTTAGAATATGTTTAGATTGATCACCTTTGGCGAGAATTATGGCCTTAAAACTGCCAATGAAACCGTCACACGTTGAACGAATGTTGTTCTGCGGTATTTTGGCCCATTTCTGGCGAAGCGCTTGCTTGAGGTGATCGACACTTTGGTATTTTTAGTTTCAACTTTGCTTTCCAAAATACTCCAGACGCAATAGTCCAACGGATTGGTATCCGGAGATTGTGCGCTGGAAATAAAGCGGGGAACCTGATTTTGTAACCACTCTTGGGTGACGCGTGCTGAGTGCGATGGTGCTGAGTCCTGTTGGAATGTCCAAGGTCTGGGGCCAAGGCTTTAATACACCCTCCAGAATATTTTCGCAATAATATTCGGCATTTATTCTGATGCCACGGCCGATTAATACGGCTGTTATGGCGGCCCACACCATTACCATGGCCGGCGCTTGAGTTCTGGTGCCCAACCGAAGGTGCACATTTTCAGCTGACTTCTTTGGCAAGTAAACACGATCATTATGTTTGTTTACAAACTGCTGGACAACGAATGTTTTCTCATCGGAGAAAACCAAATTCGGCCGTTCACCATTTTGGGCGAAGCGAAGCAACTCTTTAGTTCTTTTGAGTCTATTTTCTTTCTGTTGCGGTGTAGGTTCTTGCACTTTTTAGAATTTCAATGACGTTACCTCGAGCTCATTTTTAAGTATTTGCCGAATGGAATATTGCGATATGTTCAGCTCACGAGCCATTTTTCGGCCGGTTTCGATGAAGTCGCCTCTTTACTTTTCGAACCATTTCAGTTGATGTTGCTGTTTTCTTTCGTCCACTTCCTTGACGTCGAGCTACGCTACCAGTATCACGGTAACCAACGATGGTACGAGACACAAAAGATTTATTCACATTTAAATGCTGGAGTGCTCTAACGATAGCCACTTGTGGTTTTCCAGCCAAATATAAATAAATCACACTATTACGCTTGAATTCCATTAAGAATAACTTTTTTTCTGGAAAATCCTCAACAAAATGCTTTTATACACTTGCAAACAATATAATTAGCTGTCACTGTATTAATTTTAACAGCTGTCGGACGAGTGTCTTAGAAATGACAGAAGTCTGAAGTTGGTTGCGGGTTTTGCATCTCACCCTGTATATCCGATATCTAGGTTATTAGCATCACTGCAGTAGTCAGAAGTGACTTTTTAATGTATTTGTGATTTCGCTAGAATTAAAAATATTCGCGGTTTAGTTAAAATTTTCATTTTTTTACAAACGAAATATGCTAAATATTGGCCGATGATCGTTTTAATTGGTATGCTTCTGTCAAGCCCCAAACTCTAACTCCAGGCAAACTGTCCCGTCGATTGGTCTATAATTGTGGCCTGCAGAGCAACAACAAAATCAAGATTTTTTTTCTTTTTTTGGGCGCATTTCCCCCCTTCATATTTTGCGATCAGCTTAAAAACCTTAGGCTTCTATTCTGACCCTTATTGCTTCTATTCGCATAATTGCGACATGAAACTTGATTACAAATTAACATGGACAGACGAACATACATAGCTTGATCGACTCAACTTGCGAGATAGGAAGATCTGTATATAGTTTCCTATGTCGGGGCCAAATGCGAGGTGTTACATAATTTTTGGCCCAATCAAACTTATAATACCCCCAACACATAGTGTTTTTGGGTATAAAAATAATTTCAAATATCAGAATATTATTCTTGGATTTAGATAGTTAAATTTCATAATCTCAGTGATAAGAAAAAAATTTGGATATTTGTTCCATGTCATACCAAATCGATATAAAAACTTTGAATGCAACTTCGAACTTAAGCTTGACACCTACGATATGTAGATGTTATTTCAAATTACGGAAGCATTAATTTAATCGTCCGTTTTATGGGAAACGCCCATTACAATAGTGTTTACTTACATGCAATTTGTTAAATAATTATTGTCAAATAACACAATTCCCAAATGTTGAAAAAATAACAACACCTTTTCGCATCACACAGTCTGTGATTTTGAATGCTTTATTTAAAAACAATTATTTAAAGCACTAATTATCGAATTAAAAAAAGATTTTGTAATTATCTTAAAATTTCACTAAAAAAATTATACGATTTAACTAAATCAAATCATTATTATTATTGATAACCGTTTCAAAGAATAATAAAATGTGTGTGTGTGTGATTTGGGTTTGAGTTTTTTCAGTGTGCATTATTTGTGTCGTGTTGGATGTCTATGAATGGGGATGAGAAGGTGGAGGAGGAGTATTATGCTGCTGCCTTAAGTCTCTCTTTTTCATTAAAACTATGAACTTTTGCTCGAAGCTGTAGAACGTTTGGCCACTTTTCCAGCGGTGCCATTTTTCTTTGCAGCGGAACTTGTCTCATTGTCATTGCTGTTTAGGCCCGGACGTCGGGGTGGCATGCGTTCGTTAACGGCATCCAAACCCTTGGCTTCGGCAAATGAGTGAATTTCTGGTGTGGCGCCCAGACCTTGTAGAGCTGAAATGAAAGAAAATTAAAAAAACATTGTTACTGTCATGAAATTTCTAATGATAAATTGCTTATTGTAAATTATTATATGAACTGTCATAAACATGCAAGTTTCAAGTATTTCACGTGATTATACAACACGTGTATAAGTGTAATTAATTCTTGATTCGTTTTATGCAATTCATGCAAGTTTATCGTTTTAATTGCCCACCACTTGCATGGGTCTTTGGTGAAATAAAACAAAGCAACAACATAAAGATTATTGCCTGTCTATATCAATATTTACAAGTTTTTTTTTTATAGAATTAAATGACATTTAAATGTCGGGTACAGCTGTCAAGTCAGAACTTACCGCTTCTCAATGAGTCTCGGCCACCGGATAGAGCACCCACGGGTAAAGCACCGGTCGGTGTAAGTCCTTTCAAAGCCAGTACAGATTCAGACTCCTCTCTATGAAAAGTAGAGGAAAACCATAAAACAAACGGAATTAGTTATAAGATGAGTAGTTACGGACTTTAATGGTGTATTATTTTATTATTTTTAAATCGTTATTTTAAAGAAAATATAATTCTATCTATGATGATTTTTTTAAATAATGTTATGTTACACAGTGCTACAGGGCATTATTATTTGTTTGTGCATTTGTTTACTTCTGTTTTGGTGTTTCAGAGTTAAAACCGTGTTTCACATGAGTTTACACAAAATACTTCAAGAAAGCATCATTTTAGAAGATATCCATTGTGTATGGTTAGGTCAATATAAAAAGACCCTAAAAAGTTTGACCTAAGAACCAAAAACCCATTGGGTATTTGAACCACTTAACAAATGCTATCGTCTACATTTGGAGTTTCCCACTTCCATCCCATGAATTCCACTTTGCTATGTTTGTATACCACATTCATAACAGTAACACTGTGCGACAGCAAAAATGCATTGGTTTTTCTGGGTCACATCGATTGATTTTAAAACGGTAAATTTAGAGAAAATCCGTGCATAACATCTATTTTTAACAACGGATTTCTATTATTTTTGGGAGGTACCGTTATATGAAGGATATATGAAGTTGCATCTGTGATTGTCGCTAAAATCACCAAAATACCGCATATAGAGGGGTACCGTTATATGGGGGCTATACGAAGACGTGGACCTGTAAAGACAATTTTCGATCACCAAAATACCAAAAATAGGGAGGTACCATTACATGGGGCTATACCAAAGTCCTGCAGACATAATATACATTTTGGTAAAATGTAATCAACCTACTTCAATTCGGAAGGACGGAATTCGCTGAATCGACATAGAATTTAATACTGATCGAGAATATATAAATTTTGTGGAGTCTAAAATTTATACTTCGAGGTGTTGCAAACGGAATGACAAACTTAATATACCATCCCTGCTATAGTAGAAGGTATAAAAAGTTAAAAAACAAAAAAATACAAATCGTTTATTTCTCAACCAATTTCTCAACCCATTTTTAGCAATAAATAAATAATACGATTGTTTTATTTAACTTTCAGATTTTGTCAGATTTGTATGTTATGCCCAATATACTGAAGTGACTTCGCTCCAATTTGTTAATTCTATGGTGCTAGTGACATAGAATATGTTTTTGTTGTTTGGGATTGATAAGGATATAATTGAGGGGTGTTCAATAATGTTGCCTGCATTGTCTTCTGGGTATAATATTAATGTCCAAAAATTTAAGGCCTTTGCACTGGAAACGGCTAAAGAGTTAACAAATAGATATCCATGGCACTATCATTCACCCACAGTTATAAACATTTTAATACATATAAATTTGTCATTGTATCGATTGGAGAATTATAGGAGGTGGCCGTGGAGTCTAGAAACAAAGATATAAAAAAGTTTCGACTAAATCATACCCGAAAAAATTATTAATCGTCTTCTTCTGAGCTCTGACCCTTTTATAATGTTACCAATCAATAAAAAATCTATATTATTAAAATCTGCATTTGATTTACTTGAATAACACTGAAATTTATAAATATCCATTAGTAACATTCATTTAATTTAATATTGAATTGTTTATTTTGTTTACAAAAAAATAATCACATTTGGAATTTTGATTTGTATAAAAAATACTTCTATTTTTGGAGGTACCTTTATATGGGGACTCTACCTGAAGGCGGGCCGTTCCAAATAATTTTCAGTAAGACTATTTTTTAGCTCTTTAGAACGTAAAACGTAAAGTGTAGAAATGTGACAAAAAGTGGGCAAATATCCCTTATTCGGGATGCACGTTGTAAGGGGACCATGCCAAAACATGCATCGACCATATTCATTTTGTCACATTTTTTATTTTTATCCCATCAAAGTACCATAACCAAAGAATCATATTGATATCTGCACTGAAAGAATTTTTGGCCGCTGTTCCCATACGACCTCGACCACTGTGCACTGTAATGTTGCTAATTGTGGGGCGATTTCAAATTGATTTGTTTGAAAGGTACTACTCGAACCTTTAAAAAAGATAGAAATCCGTTCTTAAAAATAGAAGTAATGCAAGATTATATTTAAAATCCAAGAAACTCGGATTTTCTCTATATTTACCGTTATAAAAGTGGCCCAAAAAAATCAAAGGCATATTTATCATCTGTGGGCAGCCACAAACCAGAATTGGAACATTAGAAGAAACATGTATTTTTTAAGATTTGTATCACAGTGTAATCATTTTGAGAAGACTATATCCTCATAGTTTCATCTTTGGAGGATTTTATCAATTTTCGACCCGTTAAAACAAAAAACGTTTATTCAAACTTTTTGAAAATGCCAAACTGAATATTTACCCTTCATCTCGAAAATTTTTACACGTTCTTTCTCAATTTTGAGACGGCAAAGTTTGATGAAAGAAAAAAAACATGTTAAACTTACCTTAGTACCGAAAATACACGTGACATTTTACCAATCGCTCTAATTTTGTTTCGTATAATTTCCTTGCGCAGGGCTGAGACAGCGGCTGCTATAATTTTAAGGAAAAAAGAAAAAAAAAAAACATAACAATTATTTATAGTATTTACTTTGGCTGAAAATTTAAAAAGCTTTCATTGCTTATTCATGGCATATAATGACATTGCGAGCCAGCGACATCTACATTTAGCGCGTCCACTAATAAAGCTTTTTGTGCTTCTACAACAATGAACAGTTTTTGTCTTTGCTGCTAGCTTTTGGTACACACAGAAAAATTTTTGATATAAATAATGACATACATACGCATATAGACAACAGACAAATTGTATTTTTTAAACAAATCTATAAAGCTGCATCTAGAAAAGCGTTTTTATTTTATTTTCATTTGAAATGCGTAAAGATTGCCAGCTTTTTAGCTAGCCTACTGTAGCTGCAGCAGAATGAGTAAAAAATTGTGCACGCAAAATTATCTTCATCGCTTGACTTACTTTTCTTTGGTTGTTCTGAATGGTTCATGGGCTTGAGAACGATTTTCTTTCGCATTTCTGAGTGAATAAATGTGTAGCATGCATACAGACATCGATACATACAATTTTATAGATGGAGATAGAATAAAAAATACAAAAAAATTGTAAATTGTTGTAAAGATAGAAAAGATACATTTGCATTTAATTGCACAAAAATACAGGGTGTAGCAAAACGAATGACTAAAAGTAGAAGTTTACATATAACCAACGGAAAGGTATTCTTAAAAACTCCTCGATTGTAAGCTATAATTGAAAATTTATATTCTAAAAAGTCCACGATTGAGATTGTCTTTTAAAACAATTCTTGAAAACACAATTACACTGTGCGACGAAATAATGGTTTCCAAAATTATAGAAAAAATGTGACACGATTTCTTACGTTTTATAACATTTCATCGGAAAGTAACCAAAATAGGAAGGAATTTTTCCCCCATTTTTACATTTCAGATAATATTAAGGTAAGATTTCATAGAATCCATACAGTGTCTTCGGGAATATTACTGGTAAATGTACAGGAAATTTGTTTGCAAAGCCAATTAACTATCATTAGAGTCTTTAAGGTCATATACTTAAAAACAAAAATATGTCAACTTGAAGAACTTTTTATATATTTACGATTATAATTTTGATGATATTTGAAAAATATTTCTAAAAAATTGCCACTTCATCTCTGATAGTCCTGGAAAAATACAGCGTGAGATGAAAAACGGCTCGTGAGCAAATATTGAAAAATGAGCTAGGGGTAAAGCCATTTAAATTCCAAAAAGTGCAAGAACTTACACCGCAATAGAAACAAAATAGACTCTAAAGAGCTAAAGAGTCGCTTCGCTTGGAGTAAAGTGGTGAACTGCCGAATTTGGTTTTCTCCGATGAGAAAACATTCGCTGTCCAGCAGTTTATAAACAAACAAAATGATTGTGTTTACTTGCCAAAGAGGTCAGCTGAAAATGTGCACCTTCGGTTGGCCACCACATCTCAAGCGCCGGCCATGGTGATGGTATGAGCCGCCACAACAGCCGATGGTCGCTCTCCGCTCGTATTAATGGATTGTGGCATCAGAATAAATGCCGAATATTATCGCGAAAATATTCCGGAGGGTGTATTAGAGCCTTTGGCATGCAAACATTTTGGCCGCAGACCTTGGACATTCCAACAGGACTCAGCACGCGCCACCCAAGAATGGTTACAAAATGAGGTTCCTCGCTTCATTTCCAGCGCACAATGGTCTACAAAATCTCCGGATACCAATCCGTTGGACTATTGACCTGGAGTATTTTGGAAAGCAAGGTTGGCACTAAAAATACCAAAGTGTCGAAAACGCTTCTTCGGGAATGGGCCAAAATACCGAAGCAACGTTCGCGCAGCATGTGACGGTTTCATTGGCCCAATTCGTGCCCAAAGGTGACAAATTTGAACAAATCTAAATTTATTTAAAAATTTCATGATATTTTCGATAATTTTAGCTTTCATTCAATAAAATTGAAAAATAGAATGTAAAAATTATGGCTTTTGACTTTGTTGCAGTTTTTTATCTCACCCTGTATTCTTACCATTATTCATGATTATAAATCCGATAAACTTACTTAAAATACATTATTAAGATTCTGAGGTTCCTTTAATGGCCTACAAATTATATAAAGAACCCTAAAATATTATTTTAATTGACCTTAAAATTAAAATTAACCCTGGCCGAAGGCCGGCTACTTAACAAAAATTATCAAATTCGAAAAAAGCTTCGGTTCACTTGCCCGGTGTTGAATACTTATATCGTACAACCATATAGTCTACATCGGTTTAGTATATCTAGGTTTATCCGGATCATGTTCCAAGACTTTCGGGTCAAAAGTCTGGGTACAAAAAAAAAATACTTTCCCGGAATCAGGGTACAAATACCTTTATTTAAAAAAATCCGAGTTTTTACTAAACTAGAATTAAGTCTAATTTAGTTTTTCATCTACATTACCTATATTTTGTCTTCCGGCAATCAAAGTTTGTTTCACGTGCAGACTTCTATTTTTAGTTTTAGTCATTACCTTTGGAAGCACCCTGTATATTTTTGTATATTGCTCTTGCTAATTATTATTTGTTGATTTTGTTGCTGTGCGATATAGAGAAAAATAAATAGTCATAACCGACTAGTTTATGGGCCAAATTTTACAACATCAAATTTGTATTTACAAACCATAAAAAGAAATGTCACAACATTGAAATGTTTATAGATTTACATTTAAATGACGAACAAAAAAATATATATATATGTATATACTGTTCTCCCCAGATGTAATGATGTTCAAAAAAACTTATTAACAAAACAAACGAAACGTATGTATAGAGTAGATTATCGAATTCGAGTGCACAGTGGTTGTAAATGTATTTATATTAATGCCCTAAATCACAAAAAAAAAATTAAGAAATAAATATTAAAATGAACAGTTCTCTTATATTTTGTTTGAGGTCCTGCCTGAAGGTTGAAATTGTGAAACTTTTATATGTGTTGCTTCGCTTGGCCGAAAGTGGTGAATTGCCGAATTTGGTTTTCTCCGATGAGAAAACATTCGTTGTCCAGCAGTTTGTAAACAAACAAAATGATTGCCAAAGAGGTCAGCGCTTCGCCGGGAGTAGGCCAAAATACCGCAGAGTAAGATTTGGGCAGCGTGTGACGGTTTCATTAGCCGTTTGAAGGCCATAATTCGTGCCAAAGGCGACCAATTCGAACAAATCTAAACTTATTCTAAAATTTGATGCTGTTTCCGAACCTAATATATATATATATATATATATATATATATATATATAAATTATGGCTTTTGACTTTGTTGCAGTTTTTTGTATCTCACCCTGTATGTTTTTGAAAGTTGGTGGTTCTTTGGGGATGCGTCCGTAAAGTTCTAAATGATACTAAACTTCGTGTGGGTGAAAGGTGAAAGCGTAGAGTTCAAATCCTCAAATTTTATTATGAGATCTCTGTACTTGAGATATGGAGGTGGTTTTGGAAATGTGTACTTAATGGTTTAAATTTTGTACAGGATGAAGGGATAGTACTGAAAAATTTAGTATTGAGGTCACTGGTGGTTTCTAGGTATATATGAAAATGTTGAAATAGTTTTGAATATAGAAAAAATCGATGTGGGTCCAACTTCGAATACCCTCCACCATTGGAACGAATTTGGCAATGTTCAAAAAAATAAAATCCGTTAAAACCTCTGTTAAAATCTTAAAAATAACGAATGTAGCCGTTATATTCGACGACGTGGACCTGCATAAGCATCTTTTGTCAAAAGCCATTACAATATTCAAACTTAAAAAAATTTCGGTGAATAAAGTAGCTAAAATCATAAAAATACCGAACATCGGGAAGTGCCGTTATATGGGGCTATACGAAGACGTGGACCTGTTTTAGGCTGTTAAAAAAATTCCGGTGAATAATGTCACTAAAATCATCATCATTTGAGTGAAATTTTATCAACCTTCTTCTAGAGTGATTTCCACAGACGGATAGACGGACGGACATCGCTAATTCGACATAGAATTTTATGCTGATCAAGAATATGTGTACTTTGTGGGGTCTAAAATGTATATTTCGAGGTGATACAAACGGAATGGCAAACTTGATATACATTCCATACTATGGTGGAGGGTATAAAAAGGTCTGAAACAAACTCCTGGAATGAATCTTAAATTTTAAGGAGGAATTTTCGCTGGCGAATCAGCTGGTATTTGCTAGTTAAACATGTATCGAGGTCCTGACCAGATTCAAAATTGGTCCATGACAATTGAAAATATTGACCCACAGCTCCTCATAACACCCAAAAAAAAAAAAAAAATTGAATATTAAAATGTGAAATCAGTTTTTGATTTCTATCAAACTTAGCATATCCCCAGTAAGACAGGATTATAGCTCGAACAAATATAACAAATGATATTCATAAAACGCAAATATATTTTCCTGTTCTCTTCAAGTTGCGCACATTTTGATATTTATACCAAGATTAGATATAAATTAAAGTTGGGATATGTAGGTTCTATATTTTGGTACGTTCCACAAAAAATGATGAAATTTGGGAAATGTATTTGTCGGAGAATCGTCGGAAATTTTCTAAGTAGTTTTTACTAATTTTGAACAAAAGACTTTTCCTAGGAAAAATATTGAATTTTTTTATTTCGAATATTTTACTTACATCTATTCATATATAATTAGGAACAAAATCTCCCAATTTGATTTGTCTCTATCAGTCTCTTGAAGTCGTTTTGTTAACCTTTATTGTACCGAGAATTTTTTTGGGAAACTTTTTTTTCCCTTGTAAAAACTATAAAATAAAGCTATTCCACAATTTTTACTTGAAAAAATGTACCTCCTTTCCTTTGTATTAACCACTGTGCATACTCGAAGTGCTAACATCAGTAAATATTTGTTGTTTCGGCATTTAATTACAAACACATTTCTTAATTTCGAAATTATTTATTATTTTTACGTTTCGTTGTGCTTTGATATTAAAATTTTAAACGGAAAAGAAATATTTATGTTTGATCTGAAAAAAATTGTTGTCATACTGACCTTCCTCTAGTTCATCATCTGGACCGCTCAATAGTTCGTCATCCGAACAGATATTCAAAATGCTAACAAGCATATCGGTAACCTAGGGGAAAATATAAATCCAAAAACAAAAAAAAAAACTCTCATAAAAAAATAACCAAACAAATGATCACACGTGTTATAATTATTAAATTTTCCCTTTTGCTTTAATGATATTTTTAATAGATTTATGATGGGGGTGGGCTGATATAAAATGATTTTTTATTGCAAATAAAAAAAAACCATCGTTTATGTTTGAAACTTTTTTTTTTATAAAACAACAAATTCCTTTAACTTACCTTCTCGCCAACAAATGGCAATGACCATGTGAAGACATCCATAAAATTTGGCAGCCAATATGGATGGGGTGAACAATTAAATTGTCGAATGTTCATAACATTATTCTCATATTTAAGTACAGCTGCCTTTTGTCAAATGACAATATTTTATATTGGTTGTTGTTCATGGTCCAAATGTTGGTTTACATATATATTTAAGCAAAATAAAAAGAGAAAAATAAAATATTATAAATTTGTTTGCATTTGACACAATTGCATGTTAATACAATATTGTATGTTTGTGTACAATATAATTTCAAAATATTTCTGTCAATGAAATATTTGTTTATATACCAGCAGCATTATTCAAATATCTGTGAAAAGTAGATAAATTTTTAACCAAAATGTTTAAATTATCTTATAAACAATAGGGAGCGTATAAGTGTTGTCAACATGTATACGCCGTAGGTGTCACGCTATTTGACTGAAACAAACCTTTGGGTAAAGAAAACATGTTTATATAAAAGTATCTGAATTCAACCATGTGAGGTGAGGCCGTTATATGGGGGCCATGCCAAAACGGGAACCTCTATAGAAATTTGTATACTTTTGGGATTGTTATCTACAAAATCTTCTTAAATACCAAATTTGAAACAATTTTGTGGGTAAGTGCGACTAGGATTATCAAAATACCGAATATCGGTTGGTATGTTGGTATCGTGATATGTGCGCTATACGAAAACGTGGACCTATACCTACTATGTTCCGCCACCGGAGCTAGAACCTATTACGAAGTACAAATAGCAATTTTTAGACATATCTGTGGGAAATGTGGCAAAAATCATCAAAACAACGAATATTTGGGAGGTACAGTTATATGAGGGCTATACAAAAACATAAACCTATACATAGAATGTTACGCCAACAGAGCTAGAAGCCATTATGATCTACAAATACCAATTGTTAAACAAATTCGTGGAAAAATGTGGCGAAAACCATTAATATACCGAATATCGGGAGGTACCGTTACATGGCGGCTATACCAACACGTGGACTGATATATCTCAGTTTCAATACCAACCATCCTGGAGCTCTACGTCAACTAAGTTGGGCTGTATCGTGATTTCAATAGAAAAACAGACGGACACCGTGAAATCGACTTAGAATATTATGCTGATCATGAATATACAGGGTGCGACAAAAAGAACTGCAACAAAGTCAAAGGCCATAATTTTTATTTTTTTTTTAATTTTATTGAATGAAAGCAAAAAATTTCGGAAATAGTATCAAATTTTATAATAAGCACAAATTATGGCCTTCAAAGGTCAATGAAATCGTCACACGCTGCTCGAATGTTGCTCTGCGGTATTTTGGTCCATTTTCAGACACAGACACAATAGTCCAAAGGTTTGGTATCCGGAGATTTTGGTGACCATTGTGCGAAATTGTGTGGAAATTAAGCGAGGGACCTCATTTTTTAACCATTCTTGGGTGGCGCGTGCTGAGTCCCGTTGGAATGTCCAAGGTCTGCGGCCAAAATGTTTGCGTGCCCAAGGCTTTAATACACCTCCAGAATATTTTTGCGATAATATTCTGCATTTATTCTAATGCCACGCTCGAGCGGAGAGCACTTGGGTTCTAGGAGCCAACCGAAGGTGCACATTTTCAGCCGACCTCTTTGGCAAGTAAACACGATCGTTTTGTTTGTTTACAAACTGCTGGACAACGAATGTTTTCTCATCAGAGAAAACCAAATTCGGTAGTTCACCACTTTCGGCTAAGCGAAACAACTCTTCAGCTCTTTTGCGTCTATTTTGTTACTGTTGCGGTGTAAGTTCTTGCACTTTCTGGAATTTCAATGGCCTTACCCGAGCTCATTTTTCAATATTTGCCGAATGGAACATTCTGACGCGGGTTTCGATCAAGTCGCTTAAACAATATAATAGGCTGTCACTGGAATAATTTTAACAGCTGTCGGACGAGTGGCTTAGAAATGACAGCAGTCTGAAGTTGGTTGCAGTTTTTCCTTTTTACCCTGTATATACTTTATAGGGTGTAATGTTCTTTAAAATACCATATTTTACTCTTTTTTATGTTACGAAAAATATGCATTACATTACATTATATGTCCAACAGTGTAAAATCTAAAAGAGCTCATTCACAATTACTGCAATCGAAATGTAGACATATAAAAACGCATTTTGTGGCAATTAAAATGGTGATTCTACTCTGCACAATTTACCTGTAACAACCTCTAACAAAACTCACACACACTAATACACAAATGACCTAATATCCGTACAAAATGTTTATAAAATGGATTTCATTTATTGTAAATACCTTATTGTTATAAACATCCAAATAATTTGGCGCCGAAAATATTGTTATCAGAGATGGGAAACCGGTAACCTGATTTTTGCGATACATGCGGTAGCTGAAAAAAAAAGAACACAATTATTATCTTTCGACAATGACCCGCTTCAAATAATAATTAGCATAAAAAAGTAAACACAATTTGGCCACCAACTTACCCCGCATCCTGGGCCTCATGGGCTCGGACAACCGATAATAAATTGTTCTTTTGTAGAAATTCACAGCAGGCCATATAGCTGAAATAAATAAAGAAATATTTGAACAATTAAATTGGCATAGCCATCGAAACAATGAACAATTATTATTTATTGCGGTGTGGCAGAGCAAACAATTAAAATCTAAAAATAGAAAGAAAACGCAATTCGTACATACCTGAAAAAGTATGAACAACCACGCACCGAATTGTGTGTAAAATAATCACTGTTCTTTTCATTGCCAAAATCTTCCAGCGGATCGGACCACAACAAATCACACATGGGCCCAAAGGCGGGTGGTTCACGGAATCTGTTTAGCTGTAGAGGATGTTTGGAATACAAATATTATGGATCGTTGAAATGGAACATGATTCAAGGGTCTTACCTTTTTGATATCATCTAAGGTAAAGATTTCAGGTGACAGGCCTCCGTGAATACACAGAAACTGTTGATTGAGTAAAGCAGCCAATGGCAAACAGTCGAAAGCCTCCATACAGGCATCATAGACTTCAATTGAGTATTTTATTTCACCTAACAAATTAACAAATTCGTATTTAAATAGTAAATAGGGAACAAGAATAGCAATTCATATTAATATTGAAAAATATAACGTAAAGTGGGCGATTTTATATTTATCTATTTCCCATCATAAGCGAATGTTTGGCACTTTAAGTTTCTCAGATGATGATCAATAAGATGCTTACATTTTGAAAAATCTTAAATGTATTATTTTATTTTATCATAAAAAGTTATCATAAAAAGTTATCATAAAAATGCAAAAAATTTGAAATTGATATTCTCAGGATAAGTTGATTCTTTTATTTATCTTTTTTTATTCTGTTCAGAATCATCTCCTAGACTCCCCTAAACTGTCACATTGATCGATGTTAGGAAAGTCTGTTCCGACTCTGGACATTTCCTATATTTAGTTAGTTACACTGTCCAACATAAAAAATCATACGATTAGGTTATGAAAGTAGAGCCAAAAATACGTCTATCGGGCAAACTAACCTAAATTGAGGCGGCAAGATTACGATTCCTCGAACTCCGCTCATTTTAGTTATATAGTGTCTTTGGCAATATCACTGATAACAATATGTGGATTATTTTGATAGAAAATTTTAAACTTCAATCGAATTTAACAAGATTGTGGAAGACAAAATACTATTTGTCAATAAAATTACAATAAGTCCCAGAATACATCAAAAGTCTGAATCTTACCTAAACGAGAGGAATTTGTGAATATTAAAAAGTTAAAAAGCAGTAAGTTCGGCCGGGCCGCACTTTGAATACCCTCCACCATTTGGAACAAATTTGGAAATTAAAAAAAAATAAAATCCTTAAAAAATTCTGTTAAATTTTAAAAATACCGTATATTGTCGTTATATTGGGGTCTATACGACGTGGACCTACATAGACATTGTTTGCCATTAACCATTACCATATTCAAATTCGAAACTTGAAATAAACGGTGAATAATGTAGCTAAAATCATCAAATATACGAAATATTGGGAGGTACCATTATATCGGAGCTGTACGAAGACCTGGACCTGCATAGACATTTTTCTGTCACAGACTGTAGTTCCCATTATGAACTCTAAATACGTAATTTAAAACAATTCCGGTGAATAATGGCGCTAAAATCATCAAAATACCGAATATCGGGAGGTACCATTATATGGGACCCATACGAAGACGTGGACCTGCACAGACAATTTTCTGTCATAGGCTGTAGTATCCATTACGAATCTCAAATACCAAATTTGAAACAATTTCGGTGAATAACGTCGCTAAAATCATCAAAATACCGAATATAGGGAGGTACCGTTATATGGGGACTATACGAAGACGTGGACCTGCCCAGATAATTTTCTGTCATAGGCTGTAGTATCCATTTCGAACTTCAAATACCAAAGTTGAAACAATTCCGGTGAATAATGTCGCTAAAATCATCGAAATACCGAATATCGGGAGGTACCATTATATGGGACCCATACGAAGACGTGGACCTGCACAGACAATTTTCTGTCATAGGCTGTAGTATCCATTACGAATCTCAAATACCAAATTTGAAACAATTTCGGTGAATAACGTCGCTAAAATCATCAAAATACCGAATATAGGGAGGTACCGTTATATGGGGACTATACGAAGACGTGGACCTGCCCAGATAATTTTCTGTCATAGGCTGTAGTATCCATTTCGAACTTCAAATACCAAAGTTGAAACAATTCCGGTGAATAATGTCGCTAAAATCATCAAAATACCGAATATCGGGAGGTACCGTTATATGGGGGCTATATAAAAACGTGGACCTACATGGCCCATTTACGAACTTAACCTGCCTACTGGAAAAATCAACACGTGTTCAAAATTTTAGCCATCTATCTCAATTCGTTCGAAAGATAGCGTGATTACAATAAACAGACAGACAGACAAACGGACATGGCTAAGTCGACTTAGAATTTTACGCTGATCAAGAATATATATACTTTGTTGGGTCTGACATGAGTATTTCGAGGAGTTACAAACGGAATGACAAAGTTAATATACCCTCCATTGTATGGTGGAAGGTATAAAAACACGTTTTAGGGTTAAAGCCGTACTTCATGTGAGTTTATCCACAACTCTCCTACAAAACATCATTTTAGATGGACGTCGTCAAAGACTGAAATATTTTCCCTCAAATTTTAATATTTGTAACAGAAGAAAAAAAATATATCTCCACTACCTGACATTAGTTTGTAAAGGATAATTTTTATTTTTTTCATTATACGATATTTTACTTTGAAAGGCCTATACTTTGTTCAATGCCATGCGACTGAAGACAATTTTATAAATCATAAGACAAATATCCTAACCAAATCATCTATAATGTAGTATTTATGACTCGCACTGAGTGAACTTTTTTGACATCACAATTTCCCATGTGACACATTGATGTCTTCACTAATACTATAATAATTGTTTAAGTTTTAACATCACATAGTAAAGGTAGTAGGGTAAGTGTGCCTAAGTTCGGCATGTCCCAGTAGTCGGCACTTTTTTTAAGCCCAAATAAATGAATCTTTTATAACTAAATGTATTTTGTTTACTTCAAATATATTTTCAGCTATCTTCGTGCACAATTTCGCTAAGAAAAGATGATTTATTCTAATAAAAATTAAATTTTTGTCTGTGAAGGTACTCAACAATCTATATTCTTAAGAAAAGTACAATAAAGACGTCGAATCAGTTTAACTAAACAAAACTATTATATTTTAATGAATTAATTTATTATAATTATTATTTATTCTTACAAAAAAATTGGAATGCCGACTGTTGGAAAATGCCGTACCGACAATTGGCAAGTGGTGCCGACTACTGACAAAAAAGCATTGTTTTAATAAAACAACAAATTTATGAAATTTAATAAAAAGTTATTAAAACTTTACTTATTATTGCAAAAACTATACAAAATTTCGAATCTGAATAAATTAACTTTGTATTAATTGAAAAGTTCCACTCAGAATGGTGAGCGATTAAAAACGCGAAAATCGTAAAAGTGCCGACTGCTGGTACACTTACCCTACGCGTTTTTAATCGAAGAGCTTGTAATTTTTATACCCTACAACACTATGTGTTGGGGGTATTATAAGTTTGATTGGGCCAAAAATTATGTAACACCTCGAAATATTGGTTTCCCACATAGGAAAGTATATATGGATCTTCCTATCTCGCCGAGATGAGTCGATCTAGCTATGTATGTCCGTCCGTCTGTCCGTCTGTCCATGTTAATTTGTAATCAAGCTACATGTCGCAATTATTAACCGATCCTCACAAAATTGAAAATGGAGGTGGGGTAGTGGTCAGAATAGAACCCTATTGTTTTTGGAGATTATCGCACGATATTTAGAGGTTGAAATGGACCAAAAACTGAAAAAATTTCCTGATTTTGCAGTTGCTCTATAGGTCACAATAATGAACCAATCGACGCGAAAATTTATATGGTGTTAGAGTTTAGGAGTGGGCAGAAACCTACCAATTTGTATATAGACCCTAACTTTTATGCAAGAAAATAGGAAAATTTCGACTAAACCGCGAATATTTTCAACCCCAGCCAAATCACAAATACATTAAAAGATCACTTCTGTGATGCTAATAGCCAAGAAATCGGATATATAGCAAAATAGGCACAATATATATGTAAAAGAATTTATCTTATTTATTCTGCTTATAAATCAAGAACCGCTAGGCCGATTTTCACAATTCTAATCAATTCGGAATGGTCTGATGCCAGAAAAGCAGAAAATCTAAGAAAATCGCGGAAAAATATACCAGTAAAAAAGTGAATATTTTTTATTCCATTTTTTTCAATTCTTGTCATATTTTTTATCGCATGCGTTTTTTTCAATTTGACTTACAATTTTGAATTGTAAATTTTCTAAATGTTTTCACCCTTCAACACTTCGTTTTGAGGGTATTATATGCATGTCGCAATTTTCGTCCGATCCTCACGAAATTTGGCATGGAGGTAGGGGTAGGGTCAGAAATAAAGCCTATTGTTCTTAAGCTGTAAATGTAGAGGTGCAAACGGACTAAAAAAATTACTTTTTTCTAATTTTGTAGTCGCTCTATAGGCCACAAGTTAAACTAATCGACACGGAATTTCGCATCGGAAGAGAGTTAAGGACAGGGAAGAAGTCTAGCATTTTGGATGACCATTGGATTACATTTAGCTGTCAAATGGACTACAACTTTCACAACTTTTGCCAAATTCTCCGGGCCAAAAAACTAAGGGTAACCTCTGGGCGGGGCTCTTTGACATTATTTCAAAAACGAAATCTTCCAAAATGGATTTGGATATAAGGGGACTTCGAACATATTGTAGTGTTGTAGGGTATCACATGGTCGGCCACACACGACTATAGCCTTTGCTTACTTGTTTAATTTTACGATTATTTACTATACAATTTTTATTCTTACACGTTTTAAGGTCTTAAGAATATATAAACTTTTATTGTTATGTTAAAATTATTCCAGTGACAGCTCATTATATTGTTTACAAGCGTACAAATGCATTTTTGTGATTTTTCCAGAAAAAAAGTTGTTCGTGATGGAATTCAAGTGTGATTTCTTTATATTTGGCTGGAAAACCACAAGTGGCTGTCGTTAGAGCACTCCAGTATTTAAATATGAAAAAATATTTCTGTCTCGTACCATCGCTCGTTACCGTGATATTGGTAGCGTAACCCGACGTCAAGGAAGTGGACGGAAAAAAACAGCAACATCAGCAGAAATGGTTCGAAAAGTAAAAAAGCGACTTGATCGAAACCCGCGTCACAGTGTCCCCAAAATGGCTCGTGAGCTGAACATATCGCAATATTCCATTCGGCAGTTTGTAAACAAACAAATGGTGACAAATTTGTCAATGGTGACAAATTCGAACAAATCTAAACTTATTATAAAATTTTTTGTTATTTCCGAAATTTTTTGCTTTCATTCAATAAAATTAAAAATTATGGCGTTTGACATTGTTGCAGTTTTTTATCTTACTCTGTATAACATACAAAAATATCATCAATTTTGATTTATAAAAACATTTTTTTTTTGGATTTGCTGCAAATCCTTTCATAATTTCATTGTTCAATAACGAGTTTGGGTTTTGGAAAATGCCATGTGGATTTGATAGTACTCGGTTTGTAGTTCAAAACTCCAAAAGAGTTTTGGGTTCTCGAGCCAAACTCTTTCTAAATTTTTATATATACTTGACCATGTACAAAACGAACCCGAGATGCTGAAACATATTTCGCAACATTTAATATAGATATTCGAAAATGTATAGCAAGCTTTGGATTACTTCAAGAGTAACGATTGCTTGTTTTTAAGGAAGTTGTTAATATTTTTTTTGAAAGCAACTGGTGACACGCTTCGGGATTAAAAATGTCGATCAAAGTAATTCAAGCATTGATATCAGTAATACTTCCAAAGATAATTTGCTAAAACATTGGCTACGTTAATGTATATTCTAGGCCTAAGTAATGTTTTATCTTCACCAAAAGCTAACTATTTTTGATGATCCAGAGCTTGACAGCGCAACTCTGGCTTCTTATCGATGTTTATTTTTTCCATAGTTTAATGATGATGCAGCAGAAAGCCTATTTCATTAGATTTAATACTCACATTCCTGTTTGAAGGTAAAATATTCTGTTAAATGTCTGCATTCATGATTGCCGCGCAGCAGAAATAATGTGTCAGGATAGCAGATTTTTAAGGACCACAAGTAAAGGACGCACTGAAAATGGAATCAATCGCTTTATTACTATTTTACTCAACAAGAAATCATTTTACCCACACTCACTTACCTCTATACTAAAATAACCACGATCGACATAATCACCCAAAAACAAATATCGTGTCGACTCTGGAGGACCACCAACTTCGAATAGTTTGACCAAATCGAAGAATTGTCCATGTATATCTCCGCACACTGTTATGGGTGCCTCCACGTCAATCATGTTGCTCTCACTCCTCAGCAACGCAGCACCTTCTGTGATTATTCTCAAGGCAGGTTCCTCTTCGATACGTCCTTCGAGGAGGAAATGTTGTCGCAAGGCATCATAATTTGGTTTGTTCGTTTTCGGATCATAGACCTCGTCCATTGTCAATTTGTGAGCAGGTGGCAGCGGTACCTCTGTCATAAGAAAAAGAAGAAAGAAAACAACAAAAATGTAATTCATTTTGTCTAATTCATAAAATCGCGAGCAGCCACCTACCATTCAACCGGCAGACACCTTGTTGATAGGTGGCAGTAAATTATCGAAATTTATTATGGATCTGTTTTATGTAAATGATTTAAAACGTCTAAATCTCGGCGGTAATTAATGGGCATTAACACATAATTGATTGCATACAAGACGCCAATGACGTGTGCGCGTTGGGCGCCGTTCACTGTTACAGCCAGCGTATTTTGCACTAAAACCATGGTCTAGTAAATGGCTGGGTAATTGATCAATAAAATGTCAGGGAGATGAGTTATTAATAAAGTGTTAAAAGCGAGGTTAATAAATTGATCTATGAGCAAAAGCAAATGCCTAGTAAGTCGTTTCTTGTAATATGTACATTTTCTTGCTGTAATGTCACACAAATTGATTGGAATGGCATTTAAAATAGATTAATTCATTTAATGAGATCTATTTTATTTAAGAAAAGATTTTCAAATATCAGTTGACCAAATAATATTGAATAAGTAAAAAAGCTGTAATTTCACTCGGGCCGGTCTTTGAATACCCCCCACCATTTGGAAAGAATTTGGCAATTTTCAAAAAAAAAAAAAAAATAAAAATAAAATAAATAAATAAATAAAAACAAGTAAGCAAAGGCTATAGACGTGCGGGGCCGACCATGTGATACCCTACAACACTACAATATGTTAGAAGCCCCTTTATGACCGAATCCATTTTGGAATATTTCGCTTTTGAAATTATGTCATGGAGCACTGCCCAGATATTAACCTTAGCGTTTTGAACAAGGACATTTGCCCAATATTTACGCACTCCATCGTGTTGTTAGTTGTTGTGGTCCATTTTACAGCTATGTATATCAATGGTTATCCAAAATGCTAGAATTCTTCCCTATTCTTAACTCTCTTCAATTGTGTGAACAGGAAATTTTTTCTGTTGTTGGTTCATTTGAACCCTTAAATATTTTGCGATCAACTCCAGAGGTCCCTCTGCATCACGAAATTTAAACTCATCTATATGATTTGCTTGTCTACGATATTTGGCTTTATTCATCAACGAAATCAGCATAAAAAAGCCAGAAGTTCGCCTTTTATGAATTTCGGATATCGCCTGTAAGTAATGTTGGTATTTTTACACACAAAAGTAGTGGTCCACTCTACCCGCTGTCCTAAACTCTAACTTCACGCGAGATTTCATTTGGATTCAATTTGTTAACTTTATAACGGCTGCAAAATCAGGAACATTTTTAGTTGTTGGTCCATTTCAACCCCTAAATATATTGCGGACATCTTTGAAAACCAAAGGCCTAGCCATTCTGAGTCTAACCCCACCTTTTTCGTGAGGATAATTGCAATCTGTATTTAATAAACCCAGCCTGTGTTGTAAAATGAAAAAAAAATACAAAATGTACAAATCAATAAGTCACATTGAAAAAATCGCATGCGATAAAAAATATGAAAAAATAAAAAATGTCACAAAATACTACAAAATCTATATTAACATCATTATTGGCATCTTTTTATGCGATTTTTTTAGATTTTATACTTTTATATTAAGATGGCATTTTGAATTGATAAAATTTGGCGAAATCGGTATAGCCATTCTTGAGATATAAGCATTCTAGCTAACATCCCCTTCCTTCTATATATACATTGTATATATTTCGCTATATACATCCGATATATTTACTATCGGCATCTATGTAACGGTCAGAGTTGACCTGTTCGTCTATTTGTGATTTCGCCGGGATTAAAGATATTCGCGGTTTAATAGAAAATTTGACTTTTACATTACACAAATGTTATGGTCTATTTCACCCACTAAATATTACCCGATGACCATCAAAATTGGAAGGCTTCTGCCCAGCTCTAAGCTCTAGCCCCATGCTAACTTCCGCTTCGATTGGTCTATAATTGCGACCTGTAGAGCAGCTGCAAAATCATGAAATTTTTCAGTTTTTGGTCCATTTCAACCTAAATATTATGCGATCATCTCCAAAAGAAATAGGGTTCTATTCTGGCCCTACTCCCACCTCCATTCTAAATTTCGTGAAGATCGGGCCATAATTGCGACCCGTAGAGTGATTACAAATTAACATGGACAGACGGACAGACGGACAGACGGACGGACGGACATACATAGCTAGATCCACTCAGCTCGGCGAGATAGGAAGATCCATATATACTTTCCTATGTGGGAAACGCATATTTCGAGGTGTTACATAATTTTTGGCCCAATCAAACTTATAATACCCCCAACACATAGTGTTGTAGGGTATAAAAAGTAAATACAAATAAATAAATAAATAAATAAAATCCGTTAAAATTCTTTATATTAGGGTCTTTTTATCTCTTATCGAAACAAGTCAGCGAAACCTGCATCGCAGAAGCCGAAAAATGGCTCGTGAGCTAAACCTATAGCAAAATTCCATTCGGCAAATATTGAAAAATGAGCTCGGAGTAAAACCATTAAATTTCAAAAAGTGCAAGAACTTACACCGCAACGCAAAAAAAATAAACTAAAAAGAGCTGATCGTGTTTACTTGCCATAGAGGTCAGCTGAAAATGTGTACTTTCGGTTGGCCACCAGAACTCAAGTGCCGGCCATGGTGATTGTGTGGGTCGCCATAATAGCCGATGGTCGCTCTCCGCTCGTATTAATCGACCGTGGCATCAGAATAAATGCCGAATATTATCGCGAAAATATTCTGGAGGTGTATTAAAGCCTTGGGCACGCAAACATTTTCGCCACATACCTTGGACATTCCAACTGGACTCAGCACGCGTCACTCAAGAATGGTTACAAAGTGTGGTTCCTCGCTTCATTTCCAGCGCACGATGCCCACCAAAATCTCCGCATACCAATCCGTTGGACTATTGTGTCTGGAGTATTTTGGAAAGCAAAGTTGGCAATTAAAATACCAAAGTGTCGATCACCTCAAGCAAGCGCTTCGCCCGGGAATGGGCCAAAACACCAGTTATTCAGCGTGGGACGGTTTCATTGGCCGTTTGAAGACCATAATTCGTGCCAAAGGTGACCAATTCGAACAAATCTAAACTTATTCTAAAAATTGATGCTACATTCGACCGTTTTTGCTTTCGTTCAATAAAAACAGAAAAAAAAAGAAACAAGTAAGCAAAGGCTATAGTCTTGTGGGACCGACCATGTGATACCCTACAACACTAACACTACAATATGTTAGAAGCCCCCTTATGTTCAAATCTATTTTGGAAGATTTCGCTTTTGAAATTATGTCACGGAGCATTGCCCAGATATTACCCTTAGCATTTTGAGGGATATTTGCCCAATATTTACGCACTCCGTCGTGCTGTTAGTTCTTGTGGTCCATTTTACAGCTAAATATATCCCAATAGTCAGCCAAAATGCTAAAATTCTTCCCAGTCCTTAGCTCTCTTCTCAGGCATGTCGATTGGCTTCAATTGTGTGATCAGGAATTTTTTTCTGTTTTTGGTTCATTTGAACCCCTAAGTATTTTGCGATTATCTCCAAAAGCAAGAGGCCCCTCTGTATCTCCAAATTTAGACTCATCTATATGATTTGCTTGTTTACGATATTTGGCTGTATTCGTCAACGAAATCAGCATTAAAAAAAGAAGTTCGCCTTTTGTGTTTTTCGGATATCATCTGTAAGTATTGTATGTGTATGTAAAATTGGCCGAAAATATATGTGGGAGCTACATCCAAATCTGTACTTTAATATAATTTGAAAAATTTATTTTTGCACCAAATTTAGGCACTCATGACGAATTTCATTGAAATTGGAAATACGTATCGTGTTTGGTGCATCAAATATGTGAAATCGGCCCAAAAAATATATATGGGAGCTATATCCAAATCTGAACCGATTTCGATATAATTTAACAAATTTATTTTCTGATCAAATCCCGTTACACATTCCAAATTTCATTGAAATTAGACATACATAGTGTGTTTGGTGCTTCAAATACATGAAATTGGCCGAAAATGTGTATGGGAGTTATGTCCAAATCTGAACCGATTTCAAAATTATTTGACAAATTTATTTCTGTTACTCATTACAAATTTGGAGGCTGTATCTGCAATCGATCAATCGATATGTGCATATAAAATCTAAGTTGTTGGGAGGTATCTCCGATTCTGATGCTATATTCATTCATCTCCAGTTCCAAGTGGAAGGTCAAAAATGTATATAGCCTATGTTACTTTCAGGCAATGTTGTAGTACACAGAGAAATTGTCAGGAAAATCTGTGCAGCGGTTTTCGAGTCCATAAATTACAAACAAACAAACATATAAACATTTTCCTCTTTTAAAGATATAGATTACTCAATATTTTTGTGGAACTTTCAAGACACGTTTAAGTAATTGCAAATATAGCTTCAAAGTAGCATTTATTTTCCTCATAATTGTTTAATTTGTCGATTTTTGTTCCTCAAAGTTTCAGAAAAGTCTTCTGAACTTTTACCAAAATACATTTATTTCTAGCACACAAACAATTTTTGAGTGCATTAGACTAGCCCAATTTTAGTCACCGTGAATACAATTGTCATAATCCACGAACCTCTTTCTGTTTTGACAATAGCCATTTGTCGTTTACTGTTTTTGTTTATTTATTGTTGCCGGTATTGTGGGAGGTATTTAGTGAACATTCACCCAACCAGACACTCAGAGAATGGCCACAGTGTCTGTGGGGCAGACATTTTCGTTGTTCACAAATTTATCATCCGTCCCGTGACTGAGTCACATGGATTATAAATTTTTTACTAATTATAAATTTTATTTACTTGAGATGAATTAATTGCCATGTCAAGACTTTATGATGTTAATATTGTAAATTTATAGATAAAAAATTAGCAGTGCAAAACATATTTATATAATAATGTATTTTATTTGCATTTAAGTACATTGCTTCACAATCATATAAATAAGTGACCTAAATGTTTCCAATATATT